TGGAACCTAACCTGTTTCGTATTTCGTTCATGAAACATAATTAAATGTTTTATTCTGTTAGATAAGATATACTTTCATCTGACACGTCGCTCGTCATATGAAACCCAATTGTATCCATAGGTATATCCGATAATCATTACATGAAACTTTGTTTTATCCCGTGTGTCGTTGGATGAAACAAAGTTATATATACTCACGTCAATAATGGTTGTCATCCCTCCCCCAACCCAACCCCTCCCCACCTCACACTCCCCCACCCCACAAACCCTCTCCAAATAAAAAAATTAAGAGGGCTGACAACCATTATTGGCATGAGTATATAATATTTCGTTAGATGAAACATAGTAGCGTCCGATAGGTCGATCGTTTTATGAAACCAATTTGCATCTGGCATAACATCGAGGAAACATAGTATTATCTTCGGGGGACAGATGGACCATTGTTGCTTGTCTGATATTTTGTTATATGAAACACAGTTATATCAATAAATGTGGCTAGATTAATCATAGTTGCATCCGAAGTTCGATCGTTTAATGAATCTCAGCTGTATCGAACATTCACTGAAATGAAGAATTGGCACGTCCGAAATGGATGAAATCTTTTTTCTAACATTCCCTAAAGTTTAACAATGGTATATCGGAAATGTTTTTTGAGGAATCGGTTATTTTACATGTGTCGTTATTTGAAACGTAGGTGTGTCCGACAGGTGATAAGATAAACCATGGATGTGCACGACAAGTCGTAAACAGGATCATGGTCATATGACGTCGGTTGATGAAGGAAACACATAGTTATATCCATTGTGCAGCCTACCTTTCCTATCCGATATTTCACATGAAACAACCACGCTACGCATTAGGTGCATCTTTATATGTTATGCCGTGTTGGATATGCCATCCAATGCTGACCTTACACTACGCTGTGTCGGATATGACGCAATACAACATGATATCACGGAAGTGGCGCGATTTACAACATGATATGTCGGACGTGGCACGATACACAATATGATATGTCGGTTCATGCGCAATATACAGCATGATATGACTGATATGGCGATATCTGCAACATGGTATGTCGGATATGACGCTGTATACAGCATGACGTGTCAGGTGTGACGCTTTATGCAACATGATATGTCGGATATGATGTCATATTCAACATAATATGTCGGATATGACGTCGAATGCAACATGTTATGTCGGATAAGACGCTATATACATGATTTGTTGAATATGACGCTGTATACACATGATGTGTCGGATATGACGCAATATACAACATGATATGTCGGGTATGACGTCGTATGCAACGTGATATGTCGGATATGATGTCGAATGCAACATTCTGTCGGATATGACGTATACAGCATGTCATGTATGATGTGACGCTATATGCAACATGATATGTCGGATATGACACACACATTGTTCCCATGTGGGGAATCGAACCCTGGTCTTCGGCGTGACGAGCGAACGTTTTAACCACTAGGCTACCCCACCACCTTATATGTATGATGAGCCTGATGATGAGTACTACCTGTATACTTCACTCTGGATCCCATTTTGTTTTTTAGAGCGGCGAGAGATTTTGTATAAATTAAGGAGATTTGACAATCTCGAATATCTGGACTCTATCTTTTATATATCTATTGAATATGCACCTGAAAATGAAACACATACATCATCTCTATTCACAAAATAATGACACAACACGAATTTACAGTTTATATTATACTGTGACGTAACTTCTGTAATGACGTCACATCGCCTGAACGGGAAATGATGAGCTTTCAACATCACGTGCCTAGGTATTCACGCGAAAGAATGAGCATGTGCTGCCTTACCAGTCTCTTCGTGAATGAGCTCTCTCGATTGGTCCTTAAAATACGGTTAAGCTATGACCGTCCCATGACCTGTAGTCAACATCAGATCTGTTAGAAAGTGGACAGCAGTGTAGAAGTACATATTTAATTAATGCGACCTTAATCAGACAGAACTCAGCGTGACATGTTGACATATGCGTTACACCTGGCGCAGGTGTCCTTGTTTTACCTCTGATCATAAGATACGAGTCACGAGCCGGAGATGCAGCTTCCAGATATGCGTGGGCTCGTCCGGTTGTCTAAATGGACTCGTCCTCATGATTTGACAGTTGCTTAAGTGGACTCGCCCTCCGGTTCAATAGTTAAACACGTACAATCAACTTTCACGTATAACACTTTTTTATATAGGTTCACACGGTAATTAGCGTCTCAGTAACGTAAATTTTATAGTCTAACTGTTTTATAAGTTGACTCCCGGTCATAGTCCAGTTGTGAGTCTAGGATACGTGTTGGGAGGTGGGTTAAGGTGTTCGCTCGTCACACCGATGACCCAGGTTCCAGTCTCCACATGGGTACAATGTGTGAAGCCCATTTCTGGTGCCCCCCGCCGTGATATTGCTGAAATATTGCTAAAAGCGTAAAACTAAACTCACTCACTCTAACATACGTGAAAGTAGAATCGCATTGACAGTCTGGCAGTTGTCAGTGTGGACCCGTCTTAACGTTGCCCTTATAGTACCATTTTTCATACGATCTGAGGGGACCACCTCTACGAAACACCATGATTTTAGTTTTGCTTATGTTTATCCTCATTCCTGTCTCATCACAGAACCTTTCCAGAACATTTACCTTCCTTTGGAGTTGAGCAGCAGTATCACTAACACCAGAAATATCATCCGCAAAAAATAGTGCAACCACGTTTGGAAACTCTTGAGTCATGAAAATACCATTTCCACCTTTCTCCTCAAGCATCACTGATAAGCGGTTTATGAAAATGATAAATATTATAGGACTTAAAATGCAGCCTTGCCTAGTTCCGATATTACACTTGAAAAACTCTGTTATTCCACTGGGTGTTCTGACACAGGATGCAAGAGATGAATACATGGAAATCAGGAATTTAAGGAATCTACCTTAACACCAATATCATATAAACTCTGAAACAGAACTCTATGATTTATACAATCAAACGCCTTGCTAAAATCGATGAATATACAATAGAACCTACCATTTTTCTTGGAGAGATGCTTTTGAATCATTGCTTGCAAGGAAAATATCTGGTCAACAGTTGAGTAATTTGGTCTGAAACCAGCTTGTAACCCGAAATAATATTTCTCTTATCACACCAAGTTCTCAACCTCTTATCTAAAACAGCAGCAAGGGTTTTACATAGAGTGTCTATTAGTGAAATCCCTCTATAATTATCAACACTCTTTCTATCTCCAGACTTATGTAATGGACAGATAATGCTTTTACCCCATTGAGCTGGAAATACACCACTATCAAACAAAGTATTAAAGACTTGTGTCAACAAAGGAATAATATATTGTTTAGTGCTTTTCAGAAGTTCACTTGGAATGCCATCCTCCCCGGTGATTTTACCTTGCTTAAGATTTGACAGACTCAACTCAATTTCAGCCTCAGTAAAAGGAGTGTTCAGTTCTTCCACGACATCAACACCAATGTCATCACCCAAATCAGAACATAAGGTAACCTGTTCAAAACAAGGATGAGAAGTCTCATCTATATAAGAAATAATATCATCGGTATTGTCAGCAGAAAGTACATGTAACAATTTCTCAAAATGATTGAACCACTGATAAGCACTGATTTCCTTTGGCAAATCTCTCTCAATTCTATGCCTTTTTAGAATCTTCCAGAATGTTTTAGGATCATTTCTAGATTCCATAAGTAATGACCTCTGTTGGGTGTGATAAATCTCTCTTTTCACTGAGAATAAAGACTTAAATTTATTCCTGTAGGCTTCTGTATCTGTCAAAATCTATACCGGACTGACGGCATCTATTTAGTGTCAAGTACTTTTGATGCTTGTAGTATTCCAATTCCTCATCCCACCATGGTGGTTGTTGCGCTCCAGATATAATTTTACGGTGGCAAGGATAACTTTTCCTCATACATAATGCTGCTGATTGATATAGTCTGGTAATTTCGAGAACACACTGTACTACATCATCTGTTACAGATCTGTATAGGGAATCATAAGCTGGTAAAAACATTTCTTGAAAATTTATCAAAAAGAGTATCGCATTTTTCTTATTCCATGCATACTTATACCAAGGCTCAACATTACAAGTTTCTGAATATACAACTGCATCGTCTATACTGGCGATTTCATTATTTTCAACATGATTATCCCATGACAGGGTACAAGAAAGAGGAAAATGTGAGGAATCGTCCCGTGCTAAAATTCTAAAATCACTGAAGTACTGGAATAGGTCACTGGAAGCTAGAAAATAGTCTACTAAGCTTGAACCATTGTGTGTTACACATGTCATATTACCTTGGAGGTCACCGAAGAGTCTTCCATTTAAGGTGTGCACACCAAACATACAACACAGATTTGCCAATTTGATACCAAAGTTATTATAGTGCTTATTATCTCTTGTATTTCTCGGAATGTCAAAATGGTCAGATGGGTAGTCATCACAATCTTGTAATATATGTGTCAGATTATCATGTGGTATATAGTCCAAAAACTCCCTCATTCTCGCATTAAAGTCCCCTGCTAACAGCACATGGTGATTATCATAAATCTGCACAATAAGCTCCAGGTAACTAGAGAGTCGAGTGATTCCATCCATGCCCATGTTATCATACACTGGGGAAGACTCAGGGGGAACGTCCACAAACATCAGTATCATGTCACGATCAAGTCCCAACTGGGAGGTTTTTACCAATAAAACTACAACATCTTCAAAATTTTCAAACACACGACTAACGTACCCATCTTTAACAAGATATCTTTTTATAAAAGCGGACACACCACCACTATGTCTCACCCACCTTTTTGTTTTCACGCGAACACAGTTATACACGCTGATAGCTTTTCTAGAAAACCCGTGAATTCATCGTTTTGCCGTACAAATGTTTCACACAAACCTATCACGTCATATAACATGCAAAGATCCTTAAAGTCTGAAAATTCATTATTTACGTGTTTCCTTAGTCCTTCCACATTCCAGCATAGAATCGACAGGCCATGATCCCTTGTCTCACTTGTTTGTATCTGCATCACCACGATCGCGATGAGTATCCAGAGTGCTCTCCTTGCTGGTCTACTTTTCGATGTAAACAAACCCGGCTGTCGATCAGCTGGTTTCTCAGTACCACTTTGGTTCCTGTTCCTGGACGTGTCAACATTGTCACTCGTTGTCCTTTTTATCTGAGACACAGACCAATGATCGACTTGACCTGTCATATTTGTACACTTTGCTGTCCACAATTAGTGAGTCCTGTCTCATCATGGGATTCAAACCTCGTTGTAATGCATCCGAGTATGTATCCGCGAGCATCCGACGGTCTTCACTTGCCTTGTCAGGTCTTTCTTTAACACGATAATCGGTCCCCTTGAGTTTTCTCGGGCTGCTTTCAGAACCCTGGACCGCTCCTGGTTGGTAAGGAAACCAGCTATAATTGGTGAATTTGCCTTTCCTCTCAACACACGATGGGCCCTCGCTATAAGGACACCACCAGCGTTTTCAATGCCGAGATTTTCCTCCATGAAGCTTCGCACTTTGTCTTCGGTAGTATCCCATGGTTCATGTTTATCACCGTCAATTCCATGGAAAAGGAGATTATTTCTCCGCGACCGCATCTCCGAGTTTTCAAGCTTTTATTCATTTCTCGAACTTGGTCCTTTAGGTGACTATTTTCCGTTTTCAGATCCACAATCTCCTGTAACATGTGGCTCGCGAAGTTCTCGAACTTAGTGTCTAGGTTCACGACACGCTCATTTGTTGAGTCCACACTCACTTTCATGTCCATAATCACCTTCATCAGGTCTTCGTTGCTGTACTTCTGTGAGGAAATGCCCAACAAACCCTCGTCCTGTGATAGCGTTGACTGTCGCGACGAAGCAGACCGCGTGCATGCGGCTGCCCCTGTCGGCCCGGGGTTGACCTCCACGTCCCCGCACAAGAGCAAAGTTGAAAACAGCAATAACAAGCGTAAACTCGTAAACAAAGTTCTCCCATGGATGACAATACCATGCAGGCTACTTTTACACTTGTTTGGTTGAAGAAAACATCCTATTTTCGCCCGATATATAGCTAGTTCTACCCCCATATCGGGAGACGATGGGAACACGTGCGGCCACCTTGATTACCCAGCATGCATCCATTAATTTAATTAAATATCTTCCTTATGAAAGTAAAACAGATTTAAACGACAAAAAATACAACCTGGTAATAAGGAAATAACAATCAAATATCGATATAATAATATTAAAGCTGAGTATTAGCTGTGTTTTTTGACACTTAGAACACTTTGGTTTTGAGAAAAATCACGATTTTCTTTGGTCAAGTGTTCTATCTCCAATCATTTTTCGTGAGTTTCTTATTTATTTCAATAGTTCGAGCATATAATTTGATATTTTCTAATACTGTTTAACATGTCACATGCATTTGCAAAATTTGAAAGAATTCGATTGAAAAGTTTAGAAGATATTGTTGTCCTAAACTTCAAGATCGAATTTCTCGAAAATAGGTTTTTGTGACTTAGTACGCTCTGGTTTTAAGGCGACGAAATGTGAACAAGTGGGTGATTGTTGTATTTACTTTACTAAGAAAGTGTAATCCCAAATATAACATTTGATACATCATGAGTGCTTGACGCCACTTTTAGCAGTATTAAAACTGTACGACGCGGTGTGTAAACAATCGTGTCTTGACCAGACAATTCAGTGATTGACACAATTCGACACGATGACAGACCACGTGTTTATGAATCACTACCAAATAGTGATGACACCAGGTGTTGGCGGAAAGGTGAGCGTATCCTGCCCCACCCGTCATAAAGACATGCAAAGCCTGGTCAACTATTCATCTGAAAAACAAATCGGTTGCGCAGGGTACAAGTCTAAATGGGGAATTGCATAAGTTTTGCCACTGAAGCCCTGTCCAAGAACTTATGTAAAATAGTGCTGACATCTTTGTAAAAGGAGATAAAACCGGGTGTCCTCCTCCACCGTCAGCACTGCCGTCCAACTGAATTTCATTATCAAAACATGAAGTCAACGTTTGTTCCCTAATACCCATTTAGCCTTATATCAGACTCGTCAAAAGCACAATTCGTCAATACTGAATACATATTTCACTGCAATCTGATATATTTTAATTCAATGCTCTAATTTCCAATACTTAATTACGTCTCAGATATTTGTGAAAAAACATGATCCATTATTGGTACTTCCTACCCTGACAAAATTACGATTCTATTTGAATTTGAACAGATCGATTATCTGGCTAACACCTGCCGTAGCGCTTTGATTTCTATCCACATATTTACATCTGTAAGAAGACCAATTTAGCGAAATATAGCTCCGTTCATCCTCCTAAACATGTTCAATAACACACCAGGTGCACTCAGAAGATGAAAGTGGAAATCAATTCTCATTTCAAGGGTCATTAAGAGAAACTAATCACATTCAGGTGAGGCTTGATTGGAAGGAGTAGAGACCATATACATTATGCATCTACCAAAACCACGGCCGTTAAAACGAATTGTGAATTGAGTTAAACAGGAAAAAACATCAGCTGTTATGAACGATAACGCAAACACAGTTAACAGGTAACAATCATCTTTCGCAATGATCAACTGTTTTTGCTGAATAATTAATATTTCAGAGCAATTGGTGGGACAAAGGAACCGATTATCATGCAGAAGGAACATTTAATGAAATATTGGGTCATGCTGAAGGTGAGACAATATCTATCACTCAGATCCATTACGCTAAGGGATGTGTTTTCTTACGCTGTTGTTACCACGGCAGCTGTTGCTAACGCGGTAATTAACCATTCTGTACGCATGATGTCACCTTCATTGGAACCGTTCCTTATTATGTCGACATCAGCAGATGTGAAAATAAAAACTTCACGGCACGAAGTGGAATTTAAATGTGGTAGTAAATATATTATAGGTAGGTTGAACTGACATTGTGTTGCATTTTTCGCTTTACATGAAGATGCATACCGACAATATGCTCATGGTGATCGTTGGGAATACTGAATAACACTTTGTCCGTGGTGATATCATTTAGCCAAATAAAGTCTTTCACTTATCATCCATATAAGCAAGTGTCTCGATTAACTCTTCATCTATACAGTAACAACATACTCACGATCAGGGTACAATGTGTGAAGCCCATTTCTGGTGTCTCCCGCCGTGATATTGCTGGAATGTTGCTAAAAGCGGCGTAAAACTAAACTCACTCACTCACTCACTCACGATCATAGATTAGACCAACATTTAGTCTCTGAAATGAACATATTTTACAGAAGAAGAAAAATGATTATAACAATAATCATAAACATAATAAAAAGGGCCCAGAAACTGTTGAAATCTGGTCACGTATTCTAGACCTCAAACAGGCTTTCTTAGATATATTTGTTCAGGGTCTGAATGGCAGACTAGCTCATCGTTGGAAATGTTGAAATAGAAGTGACAAAATCCTTTCCACATCCATAAGAAATCTCTGCTGAAAGCTAGTATCCAGTGTCCAGTATCCTGAAGCAGCCTTTTGTTTAGCGTCCATATAACATGTAGAAGAATCTGGATTAACTCTTCATCATTAATACCTGTTTTCATATTTGGAGATCAAGGTTTGTTCATATCAAGTAATATCAACAATGAAATTGCACAACTAGGCTTTCACACCATTGTTTCATCCTCTGTGACAACGATGTCAAATCACATGGTATCAAGAACCTATCTCCGGGGAAGCTGGTCAGACTGATTTCATCCTTGCGCCTTCTGATGCCAAATCTATGAATACTTGATGAATAAGTTTACAACTCCTACGCAAGTCTTGGAGTTTTGTACTTTGATTTTTCCTGATTTCCCTTGTCGAGAAATGGTCAACTGCTAACTTCGGCGTAATGACATTCTGACTTTCAGTTATCATCCGGGTAAGGGGTAGCCTTATTAAGGGTATCCGTTTTAATAATTTTGGTGCATTTATTCATTATTGGTATGTGTGATCATGGTTTTATGCCGAAATATTCACAACATCCTTGAGTGATAAAATACTTTACCCAGAGCCGACAGGACGGCGGTGTAGTTTACAATACCAGTTCCATCCCAACAGGGATGCAATCTGCGATGCCCATTTCTTATTTCTCTTGCAGTGATATTGCTGGGATATTTCTTAAGGCTCTCACTCACTCACTCTTACACTCACTCACTCGATCCCATTTGATGTGGGGCGTTGGTGTAGTCGCGCAAAACGCGTTTGCTAATCACACCGAAGACCCGGGTTCGATTTTGCCAAAGTGTATAAGCTGTGAAGCCAATTTTTGGTTTCCTCCGCCGTGATGTTGATGAAAGTGGCGTAAAACCATACTCACTCACCCCAGACCAGTAGGTGCTGAAAGAGTGAGCAGATGAAAGTTTCAGTGGGTTGCGATGACACGACTTGTCAGCGCCATACATTTAATATTGGCCAGCCTAGACTCCAGGGGTCACATTTGACCGTGGATGCCCACGAGACTAATTCTCATTGTTCATGCACCGTTACGTTCACCCCAGGAACTGATTCAGTACTTAATAGCCGTTTATTCCACTTCAACGATCTTCATGGGTCTGTAACCTTCTCGTCCATAGCGGACACCATACACATTCCCCTGTTGTTGTGTACAGAGTTGAAAGCGCTGGTGAATGAGAACGTCCATGCGAAGCGGGTCTCGGGGTATTACAGGCCCCCAGCAGCGTATGTTTGCTGAACGAGGTACTTAATGGCGGGGCTGGTCAGTCCCCCGTGAAGAATGCGGGTTAGGTCCCAGTACGTGAATGTTTGTCGTTATGTCGTGGTTTTTTTATTTAAAAATCACTTTTCTTTTATTATTGTTTAACGCCGCAAGAAGTATTTTAGTCTAATTACGGCGGTCTGTAATTATCGAGTCCAAACAATCCACTAATGGATATTATGATCGTGTAGGCAAATCAGTATTCGATGACATGCACAGCTGTATTGCTGTATATCACAGTTGCCCATAGTCTGCCACATGTACATGACCAAGCGTATTGTCGTCTACCACAGTCTGACACATATACATGACAAACTGTAATGTGGTCTACCACAGTGTGACACATGTACATGACTAACTGTATTGTCGTCTACCACAGTCTGACACATATACATGACCAACTGTAATGTGGTCTACCACAGTGTGACACATGTACATGACTAACTGTATTGTCGTCTACCACAGTCTGACACATATACATGACAAACTGTAATGTGGTCTACCACAGTGTGACACATGTACATGACTAACTGTATTGTCGTCTACCACAGTCTGACACATATACATGACCAACTGTAATGTGGTCTACCACAGTCTGACACATATACATGACAAACTGTAATGTGGTCTACCACAGTGTGACACATGTACATGACCAACTGTAATGTGGTCTACCACAGTGTGACACATGTACATGACAAACTGTATTGTCGTCTACCACAGTGTGACACATGTACATGACAAATTGTATTGTCGTCTATCACAGTCTGACACATATACATGACCAACTGTATTGTCGTCTACCACAGTCTGACACATATACATGACCAACTGTATTGTCGTCTACCACAGTGTGACACATGTACATGACCAACTGTATTGTCGTCTACCACAGTGTGACACATGTACATGACCAACTGTATTGTCGTCTACCACAGTGTGACACATGTACATGACCAACTGTATTGTCGTCTACCACAGTGTGACACATGTACATGACCAACTGTATTGTCGTCTACCACAGTGTGACACATGTACATGACAAACTGTATTGTCGTCTACCACAGTGTGACACATGTACATGACCAACTGTATTGTCGTCTACCACAGTGTGACACATGTACATGACCAACTGTATTGTCGTCTACCACAGTGTAACACATATACATAACCAGCTTTAGTGTACTTTGCCACAGTGCAAATGACCTAATGTGTTCAGATCTTTCCATTGATGACCCATGTATACGAACAACTGTATATTGATGTTTCTATCGATGACGCGTGTATAGAAGTCAATAATGATAATAATAGATGAACATATGTTGCACCGGTATTCATTTGAGAGTGATTATATGTCAGTATGTTTGTTTAACCTTGCAAGTATGACGTGATTTTTGAGAAACTGAAACCTCCTCCTGTCCTCTCCCCGCCTTTCCGCCCTAACAAACAGACCACGATCGACTGAGGCTTTAACCAACTTTACACTGGTGTTTAGTTCCATCCGTTCCCCAAGGTCATTCTGTAAGTCGAAGAATGTAACAAACTTAGTTGTAGGAGACGACTTTATGATCAGCTGGTCAGAATCGGACACTTGGCCATAGCGAGCTTCATTCCCAGGATTGAAAGTAAATGTGAAGCAATGCCTTCTTTAACAACTGTTTTCGTCATAAACACCCTTTGACATTTTCTGGATAGATATGCATCTCCATATCTGTATAGGGTTAATGTAAATGCACACTTCTACTGCAAAACGTCTGAGTATTGCTCTCGGATATTCACAAATCAATACATTCACAAATCAATACATTATCGATATTATTATCTTCTTGATCGTCACAAGGAACGATCAATACGGACACCCCCTGAAGCCATTGTCGTTGGTGTTTACATTCATCTATACGCTTGAGTACATCTCGTTCATAAGCATCTTCCTTTAATGCTCATAACGAGCGAATTATGAGTGGAGTAATAAATTGTATATGAAGCTGTTTGAGAGTTTGGGTTAAAGGCGCTTAGAATAGCATATCAGTTACGTCCCGGCGTTTCCAATTGGCGTGGAGGAAAGCACAGGTGACGCATATCTCACATATCTTACCACTTTGGAGAAACCCACGATGGGTGTGGTTCTGAGGGAATGAGAAAAATTAAATGTTTCAGCCGCTTTGAGCAACAATATCTGTTCTTACCAAGTGGAGTCGAAGCCAGGCTTGCATCGCCTTAACCATTTAACGCCCAACAGCATCATGGTTCAGGGAAACTCACACACATAACTAACGGGAATAGATGCTTCCATTGTAATACACACTCAACTGTTATGCGAGATAAATCTGATCTTACTGTTTTCTGTTCTAGGCGCATTATGTATACAGAGCTGCAGATAAATTTTGGGGTCATTGAATTATGTACTCTGTGTTCATCTCAATAGGGTATCCTAATTTTCCTTTGAGTAACCAAATAAATTGTACTCATCTCACTCAAACTCAGTTGGGTAGCTTGTAATTTTCCATTATTTGTAAAAATAAAATAAAGTTTAAATGTTTGTTTACGTGTTTGCTATTTATATTTGATGTGTTGTATAAGAAACGATAAGAAAGACTGCAAGTTGCCTCAATCCCTCAATGTACGTCAGTATTTGTATTTATCGACCGGTTCGCAAGCTAAGACTTGACATTTTTGTGTGTACGCATGTAAGAATCAAATTTATTGAGTATTTTCAAAAACTCAAGAATACTTGTACGCAATAGACGTATTAGGAATTGAGTTTTCACATAAATATTTGTGTAATTTACACAGATACGTTTGGAACTGTAATGTAATGACACACAGTCAATTATACAGAACGTTTAAACGTCGGTGCAATTTCATAAAACTGATTCTAAGATTTATGACGGATGACAGTTCACATGAAAGTCAATTTTTTCACGTATCAACAAGGATTCCATTTTGAATGCAGTTTTGCCATATATGAAATGCACAAAAGGATGCATGTCACACGAAACATTTACACGTCTTTTTCTGTCATGCAGTAAAGATTGAACGTTTAATGCATCTATTTCCATCTTTCTATTTTAAGATAAAGAGCAGTTGAAACTGCTACTCGATCATCCATAATGCTTCCAAACCCCCAACGTCTCGTAGAACTTACACGAAATTCTATAAGCATGCATTCTAATTTTGCAACAGTAGATATTGTTAGTTGCAACAATAGTTGCAGTTCATATGAAACTCTTCCAGGAGATAATCTAATTTGCATATTCACTTCATATGAAACTCGGCAGCTATTGTTATTTGCAACAATAGTTGCAGTAATATGAAACCTTTTCGGCAGATATTCTAATTTGCAACAATAGTTGCAGTTCATATGAAACCCTTTCGGCAGATACTCTAATTTGCAACAATAGTTGATTTTCATATGAACCTTTTCCAACGGACATTCTAATTTGCAACAATACTTGCACTTCATATGAAACGTTTCCAACAGGTATTCTAATTTGCAACAATAGTTGCACTTCATATGAAACCCTTTCGGCAGATATTCTAATTTGCAACAATCGTTGCACTTCATATGAAACGTATCTAACAGGTATTCTAATTTGCAACAATAGTTGCACTTCATATAAAAGTCTTTCGGCAGATATTCTAATTTGCAACAATCGTTGCACTTTATATGAAACGTATCAAACAGGTATTCTAATTTGCAACAATAGTTGATTTTCATATGAAACGTTTCCAACAGGTATTCTAAATTGCAACAATAGTTGCACTTCATATAAAAGTCTTTCGGCAGGTATGGTAGTTTGCAAACATAGTTGCAATTCACGTGGAACTACTAATATGCAAATTATAATAGATATATTCTTCATTATTCATTTGATAAATTTAAAACAAATTGCAATAACGTGATAAACTGCATGCCTATAGCCGATATATTCAATAGTCGCCATAATACCGCGTGTTCTGGTACGCCTCGTACCAGTAATATTCAACATATTAACATGTGCCATTTACCGCGACTAATTTACATCGTTGTGTCCCAAGTGAAGAAAATGTTCAAACAGATCTCAAACGCATCGCCCACCAAACTTCAAGATGTCATCTGGTATGGCACAAGAGTGTGACACAGGTGGTATTGTTCTTGTTGATCTGCACTGGAAGAAAACTTTCACATGAAATACATCATAGAAAATACACATATATTCAGTTTCACTTCATGCTGTGTGAGTGCATCTCTGAAAGAAAAGTGTAGACGATATTGCAGTGTGTGAAGTAGTTTCCAGATTTGGCTAGCCAGTCAGGCAAGCTATGCCTGAAAGTTACGAGCCCAAAACAAAATTTCGCTAGCCCAAAAGTTGAATGTGGAAACTAAGCAAAAGATTACAAAATGGTAAAATACCATTATTTTATCAGGTCATAATCTTGCATGATTGAAAAGTGTATTTTAACTTAACTAGTCGGAGAGAGCGATATATTTAAAAAAATGACCCCATAGAAATTCACTAGCCAGTGGGGCCAGAGACTGTGAAGATTTACTGGCCCGACTGGATTGTAACTAGCCACAGGCTATCGGGCCAGTGGTTATTTCGCACACTGCGATATTGTTGTGTGTGTGACATATATGTCAAAATGTAAAGTTCAGAGACAATGAGAAAGAAGGTCAAACTTGACATGGAGAGAAGAACATACGCCTTACCTCCATAGTCCCTGCCAAGCTTTTCCGGAAGACTGTCAATGATTTCTTCAATCTTGTGGAACTTGTGGAACGTGTGGGTAAAGTTCTTTGAAGTTCTCAGCGCAAAGTGAACACCATCCGTAGCAATGTGGCAGAATCGGTGCATGACATTTTCTCGGCCATTAGGGTTATACAGAAGCATTATACGACTCCAGTCAAAGTAGTGAAACACCTTTATCAAGTAATCTCCAAGAGAATTGAAATTAGCACCAACACGGGTTAACACTGAAAACTCCTTCTTGGCCTTTGTGCCGAAATCCTTGGCCATGGCACCGGCTGTTAGCAACGGCGTGTTCCAGTATGCCACCTGCCTAGCAACGGGCGCAGCGGCGTAGTCGCAGCATGGTCCGAAGAAGACGTCGACGTTCTTGTCTGCGTAGAACGTCACGGCTTGGTTCATCCCTTCAGCGTTAGAACATTTGGAATCACCATACTGGATGGTGAGTTCGGTGCTTGTCAAGATTCCTGTTTTGTTAAGGCTGTCTTTTGCGACTTCCAATCCGGGTGCCACTCGTTTGATGGAGAACATGTGCCGTTCATCCGCTGGTAATAAAACGGCGATTTTGGCAACGCTTTTGGCAGCAATTGCCATGGGAACCAAACATACAAAAATCGCTGCGAAACGCAACATATCCATCATTCCAACCAAATTGTTTGAAATATTTCCAATATTTTGTATATATCCAATCTGTTGCGGAGTGTCGCAATACGACACACTTAGCAGACACTCCTTAAATAAACCACGAGATCTTGTAATGAAGATCCAAAGATCAGACACTACACTATCCACTTCAGTTAGAATATGATACACATGGAATTTCCTTCCAGTATCAGTTAACACGTACACAATACTCACTTTTCATTCCAAGAATACTTGTCTGCTGTGCGAGTATTCCGTCCTATCATGATATCTCCAGTTGTTTGGACATTAGGAAGATACCAACAGGTCCTAGCTTGTCTATCCTACTGTGATATACAGAACTGAATGAGATTGGTTCCAACAGCTACCACGACGAGCTCTTCCTTTCCCAGTATTATCCAGATATGGCTGTATTCTCCGCTGGCTTGTTCAAAGAGAAACAAATTTGTTTAAATGTTCATTTATTCGAAATATATTACTACTATTATATTATGTCTCGTCTAATAACTAATTAAATATTTTCTAGAAATTTCGTCCATTAATGAACGTTGTCTACTGGGGACCATTCTGCTGTTGACCTTTCGGACGCCTACAACAGACATGTTACGGATGGTGCTATGACAACTTCATTATATCTAGGCAATAGGAATTCTTTGAGACTCTTTTCGGTCAGCTTGAACGCTGTGACGGCGTGGGTGGGAGTTCACACCGCTGTCCATCACCGCCGACGATGGGAGCAAAATGTCATGTCATTCAGGTCAAAGACGCTTTGTTCCTTGGTGAAGTACTCGGCTTGGCGCCATGTTCGCAGGGCATAGACCGTGTTTGGGGCATATGTGGGGTTCAGACACCAATCAGCGGGTCTTGACCTTTCGAAATGGGTTAGGGAGAGAGTTCAGTTTTACGCCGCACTCAGCAATATTCCAGATATATTGCGACAGTCTGTAAATAATGGACCAGACAGACAGCCCAGTGATCAACAGCATGAACATCGATCTGCGCAATTGGGAACCGATGACATGTGTCAACCAAATCAGCTAACCTGACCACCCGATCCCGTTAGTCGCCTCTTACGACAAGCATGAATTACTGATCAATATTCTAACCCGGAACTTCAAGGGTGCTTTCTAAAAGACCCACAAGGGTTGTGACCGAAAAGAATGTTGCACCGTCCATTATTCTAGCAGATAATGTCAGTTTGTGTTTTTGGTGTGTGCAAGTACGGGCAAGTACGGTACGGTTTTGTCTCACTGTCTTTGTCTGGACAAAATAACATTTGTTATTCTTATAATATTAGGTATATTTGGTCGAGTGATTGAGTGAGTGAGTGAGTGAGTGAGTGCGTGCGTGCGTGAATGCCTGAGTGCGGGGGTGATTGAGTCAGTGCGTGCATGCGTGCTTTACTGCGTGAATGTGCGGAGGAGTGAGTGCGTGCGTGCTTGCGTTCGTGCGTGAGTGAGTAGTTGGGTGAGTGCGTGAGTGAGTGAGTGTTCTACACCGTTTTCACAATACTCCAGCACCGCTTGAACCACTGTAATTAAGCTGCCCCACAGACCAAACGCTAATGTGAGACACACGTTTAATGGAAAGAATAAAATTGTTCATCATGAATGAAAATACAAAGAAATGTATACGCTGATAGTGTTGTTGCATCCGTCTGTCTGGTATCATCCGAATACTGAGTCTCATTTGCAAACATCTCTCCCCCATGTGACAAAACGCACCGCACGTATGCCCCTTCGAAAACGAAAAGGGGCGGTGGGGTAGTCTAGTGGTTAAAGCGTTGGCTCGTCACGCCGAGACCCGGGTTCGAATCCCCACATGGGTACAATAAGTGAAGCCCATTTCTGGTGTCCCCCGCCGTGATGTTGCTGGAATATTGCTTAAAGCGGCGTAAAACCAACCTCAGTCAGTCACTCAGTCGAAAACGAAAAATGATTCAGAAACAACATATCTCAAGTTTAAAGCCCAGATATGGTCTCGTTGAGGTTTAACAGGTACACTTACATCACTTCAGTGTTTCTCCACAATCATGCCGACACAAAGCTTAATCACTGAAATGCCGTTCTCGTTCAGGTGGGGGCTGAAATCACTAACTCACTGGTACTTGCGCCATTTAAAGAATGTCTATCTTCCATACATAACTTATCCAAACCAATTTGATACACGGATCTCATCGTAAACCTTTCATTTTCTCCGTGGCGAGTGGGGGTTTCAGTTTGTCCCCAGAAACTTATCCTTGAGGGTGGGGAACAAATTGTTCGGATGATTAGACTCATTAACTAGGTTGACATTGTGTCGGTTGGTTTGTTTTTGGTTTGTTCTTGTCAGTCAAACCCTATTAATCCGGACGAGATATTTATGCTATGTTCCAACGGTAATGCCAAATAAGTGAGTGAGTTTAGTTTTACGCCACACTCAGCAATATTCCAGCTATATTGCGGCGGTCTTTCACTAATCGAATCTGGACCAGACAATCCAGTGATCAACAGCATCTACTCATTTGGAATACGATGACATGTGTCAAACAATTCAGCGAGCCTGACCAACCGATCCCGTTAGTCGCCTTTTTAAGACGAGAATGAGTTTATGAAATCTTCCCTTTGTGCAAGTATTGCAATTGTATAAACACAGGGGATATCGTATTTAGTGAAGTTTGATTTTCCAATACCTTCACTGAGAAATGTTACAACAATATGAAAACCAGTGCTTGACATCATGAGCCTCGAATCTCGCAGTTCAGATGCAGTTAATGCAGTGTACGTTGGATAAGTAAAATGTATACACCAAGGGAGAAAATAATGATTACGTATTCATTTAAAAAAATCTACTTTAACAAAGACGATAATATATGTTTACACGTTTATATCAGTATACGTTTTTTACAATTTATCAAAATTAATTAAGTAAATAACAGCAAATATCACAAGGAACGACTAATATATTAAAAATAGTTCTTGTTAAGAACAGATATTTAAAGAATAAGTTGGCACAGAACCTACCTTCGCGATCACAGAATCCGTGTTGAGTTGTTTGTGAATCGGCTCTTCGGCTAGGAAGATGTAACGCTCGTACAATCCTTAACATAAGACTGGCATTCCCGGATTTATCCAATGACTCAATAACGGGACACGTGCCACAGTTAACGGATCATTACATTATTCCTCTGTCTGGCTATCTCGTGAAATGCGGCCGTACCACAGGTTCGGACAACGCCGATGAAGCCGTTGCAGTCTGTGCAGGTCCGATCCAGCTGACGAAGTTGACAGATGGCACGTTGCAGGACTGTATGAGGCTTAACATTAAGCGCCAATTTTTATCACATCATCCGAATCGTTTAGAAATGACACGCTTGTATCACGTGTATATTGATAACTACCATTTCCAGGAATGATCATCTGTTCATTTCATCAGAACATGACACAAGTATGGGATGGATGTTTTGCGATTGATCATATTTATCCACGATGTCAGTGATGTGCTTTTAGCTGAACAAGGAACTTATATGAAACGGTCGTGGTTTCAGACCGTTAACCCAGTTGTTCGTCAATATCCGCAATTTAGAAATCTTTGCTGTCGTGATGTGATGCATCTGCTGTAGAAAATGTTTCTTTTATGAGATACAGCTTTGTGATATGTTTCTAAATGGGCAGTTCGATCGGGATGACATCTGACCTCACGTGTTGTGAACATAATCTTCTGATCTCGTAACTATTTCGTGTGATGTCTTCATCAAGACAGGGTGGACATTCTCTTGATAATATAAAATTTATTTCCTCCCCTGAATCTGACTTTCAACAATGTAGCAGGTATGTTAGAATAATAGTTGATTTTCTGTTGGAATAAGAAAGTGCTGTTCGTTCACAATTTCCATCTTAATAATCCTTCAAGCGCTGTCTCGCACAACACAGTCAGCCATATATCCGGGAAAATCACAATAGAGGCAACGAGTATTAGAGGCACAGAAGAATAAATAATTTCAAAATGAATCAGAAAATGAAAATATCCTTAAACCAATCACCGAGAAAAAGCGAAAGAGATCCACCTGTTTTCCTCGAAGCGTACGCAATGAGTCAAGATGTGTCTCCACTGAGCCAAATCCCGTCTTCTCCTCCTATGGTCTATATACGGACATAAATCTCTATTGCTCTGTGTGCACTTGTAGTTCTATCTCCCACAGTATCCTTACAATGCTACGCACTGTTAATATTCAAAGGAAAGACATCATGTCAATCGTGAACATGCACTTTGGATTAAAAATGCATGGATGTGATTCACTTGCAACTATGAACGTTCGCATTGGTTTAAAAATGCATATTCCATTCACATGGATCGTAGAAACTGGCAGTTTGCGTTAATTCTCCATGCATATGAGATATCTTTGACGCATTACCATGAAAATATTATTCCAAGGAAAACCGTGATAACCATACTTTTAGTAGCTTTCCTAATCACAAAAAGTCCATGAAAGTAAATGGTAAAACCGGATATTACCTGAAGTATCTTCAGGTACCTGGACAGAGAAACACGGCTCTGTGTGATACAAAACTCCTCATATTTAACCCCCCTGGGCACTGTTTATACTATGAGACCTACGTGTCGCTGTCGTACTTATCACAATGTCCTAGAGAGATTGGTGGTGGAGAAATACCATCCGATCAATATGTCAGCACAATGATGAATGCACCTCACGGAAGGAAAACACAACCGTTGCTCTTTATTTCGAAAGCACACGCCACTGATCCATATAGGTCCATATGATATCCAGCATTTAATAAATTCAATGCAGTGAATGGGCTCGGTTTGTCAGCTACATGTCAGTCAGCCACTGATTGCCATCACGATTCACTTAACAACCCAACAAGGCACACACGGCTCCATAGATCAATACGCGCTGGGAGGAGTATGATAGGGGCCGGTGTGTTCAGCGTGAGGGAATCAAGACGGTCGAG